AAGTCCAAAATTGAATGACTGCGCATGACTGGACTACACAGTCAAAGCTCCCCGGTGTGTTATTCATTTGCATCTACTAGGCCAAAGAAAAGGCCTACGTATTTGCAAAACTGGATAAACCTGAAAAAAAAAAAAAAAAATTAAATGTATGGCTCGCATGACTCGCTGGCTCGCACTTTGGCACTACTCCTTCGCATCTCGCACACTTTGGTCGATTGTGTAGGTTTGAAATATGTTTTTTTCATTGTCAAAATCTCAGTCAATGACAGAATAATTTTTTTAACATATTGGAAATAATTCCAATGAAATATGGTAGTGTCAATACTAGCAACGGAAAATATCAAGTCGGCCGTTTTTATGTCTGATAACAGAACCTAAATTGAGGTAGGGCTAGGCCTGGCCTAGTAGTGTTGCTAGGCTAATGTTTCCGGGGTCGACTATATTTCTTCACAGACCTATCGCAAAATCAAACCTAAAAAATTCATTGGTGTTTATTTTTTGTGTGGAACACAAAAAAATCAAATTTCAGTTTTATTTTACATTATTTTTTTTTCATGTTTAGGAATGTCTAAATTCAGTTGAACTAGCAATTTTGTATTATATTTATAAATCTTTATAACATGTATAAAAATCAGATTTTTCTTAACTGAAATTTTGCCAGGAATGGGGCTTTAAATAAGTATTGTTCAAAAATTATTTTAAATTGATAATGATATTAATATATTTTTTTACCACATAAAGGCCTTTTTTTTCTTTTGGAGGTCTAAATTATAGTACCAATTTACAACTTTACAAAAAACAAATTCAGATATCTAAAACATATATATTTTAATTTTTTTTTTTTTTTTTTATTACAACCATAATTTATATAGCGCCTTTCACAATCCGTAGATTTTACAAGCGATTATACAAGGCGCTGGCATCATTATTTCCCTGGTCACTGGATACTGAATTGGCAGATCCGCACATTCTGTAACTTTCTCTGGATCTTTGGGAGTATCCCTGGTCATTGCTGCTTTTGAACGTGCATGACCCATACATTCAATGCCATACCATCCTACTATGTACCAATTTATAGTCCTGGGTGGAGAGAGGCAAACATAAGTAAAGTGCCTTGCCCAAGGACACAAGCAATGCGACAAGCGTCCGTCTCGATCTCACAATCTGAAGTCCAACACCTTACACGCTGAGCCGCATGCTCCTACAAAATACTTTACATTAATAATAAATGATGATACATACATTACATTAATATTTAAGAGTGAAAATATAAAATAAAATTTATAATATTAAAAAATACAGAAATTAAGTTAAATAGTGAGATAACATTAATATTCAAATCAGAAAAAAAGTGCATTATAATTAATATACAAAATTTAAGAAATCAAAATACACAACAGTAGAAAATTATTCTGTATAAGACAGAGCAAATAAATTAGTAGAATAACAAATTTTGTAAAAGCTTGTATCACTGGAGGAGTGTTCTGTGATATGATATGATAACATAGTTTGTTTAATTATTCATAATGATGAGGCTGTGGTTGCCATAATCATAATATATGATATTAAAATTTAACGGAAATGTATCAATATACTATATTATGTTATGATTTTTGTAATGTATGTTGAAAGCAATAAAAAATGTATCAGTATAAGTAAAAGTCAGTAATATTTGATGTTGTGAGAAAGAAATGATTTTCTTAGCTGAAATACACCAGTGAATGAAAAACGAATGTTACCAAATGTAACTTAAAATTAAATTTTTCTAATATATTTTTTACGTATTTACATTTCTTGCATATTTGCACTATGTATTAAAGTCTACAGTATTCTCTAATCAAAGATGTGGAATAAAAATACACCAATAAGTATTACTTTAAAGAGGTTAAATCTATGACTACTTAAAAGTTATTAGCTATCAATTCCAGGGTTCTGGGGTCCACCCTAACACAACTTGTCATGGTTATTTTATTTTTATGTTTCATAGAAAATACATATTTGAAGTATGTGCTTACCTGTAAAGCTGTGGGTTTAAAATGTGAGACAAGGTAAAGTTCATGTGGTGAAGTTGGTCTTATTGAGTCCTCTGCAAATATCAATGTTACATTAGTGGGGTTTTTTTCACACAGAAATGTAGTAATTATGTAAATGTTGTTCAATTTATAAATATTAAAAAATGTAATT